TCTTTCTGTTCTGTCTGCTCTTAATCCCCATTTTCGCCCCTCTTTCTATTCTGTCTGCTCTCTTAATCCCCCATTTTCGCCTCTTTCTGTTCTCTCTCTTTCCCCATTTCGCCTCTTTCATTCTGTCTCTTGTCCCCTTTTCACCTCTTTCTATTTCTGTCTGCTCTTCATCCCCATTTCCCCTCTTTCTGTTCTGTCTGCTCTTTTCGCCAATCCCCATTTCGCCTCTTTCGTTCTTCTGTCCCTGTTTCGCCTCTTTCTCTGTTCTGTCTGCTCGTTTAATCCCCCATTTCGCCTCTTTCTCTGTTCTGTCTGCTCTTAATCCCATTTTCCCTCTTTCCGTTCTGTCTGTCTTAATCCCCGTTTCGCCTCTTTCCGTTCTGTCTGCTCTAATCCCTGTTTCGCCTCTTTCTGTTCTGTCTGCTCTTAATCCCCCTTTCGCCTCTTTCTGTTCTGTCTGCCTCTTTCTAATCCTGCTCTTAATGTTTCGCCTCTTTCTGTTCTGTCTGCTCTTAATCCCCGTTTCGCCTCTTTCTTTCTGTTCTGTCTCCCTCTTTCTGTTCCCCCTTTCCCCGTGCCTCTTTCTATTTCTGTCTGCTCTTAATCCCCGTTTCGCCTCTTTCTGTTCTGTCTGCTCTAATCCCCATTTCGCCTCTTTCTGTTCTGTCTGTCTTAATACCCGTTTCGCCTCTTTCTGTTCTGTCCCCATTTCGCCTCTTTCTGTTCTGTCTGCTCTTAATCCCCCTTTGCCTCTTTCTGTTCTGTCTGCTCTTAATCCCTGTTTCGCCTCTTTCTGTTCTGTCTGCTCTTAATCCCCGTTTTCTGTTCATTTTCGTCCTCTTTCTTTTTCTGTTCTGTCTGCTCTTAATCCCCTTTTCGCCCTCTTTCTGTTCTGTCTGCTCTTAATCCCCCCTGTTTCTGCCTCTTTCTGTTCTGTCTGCTCTTAATCCTGTTTCGCCTCTTTCTGTTCTGTCTAATCCCCCTCCCCTGTTTTCTGCCTCTTTCTGTTCTGTCTGCTCTTAATCCCTGTTTCTGCCTCTTTCTGTTCTGTCGTTTAATCGTTTCCTCTTTCTGTTCTGTCTGCTCTTAATCCCCATTTCGCCTCTTTCTGTTCTGTCTCCCCATTTACTTTCCATTCTGTCTTTCTTTCTTTTCGCCTGTTCTGTCTGTCTCTTAATCCCTGTTTCGCCTCTTTTCTGTTCTGTCTCTCTCTCTCTTCCCCTTTTTGCCTCTTTTCTGTTCTGTCTGCTCTTTCTCTTAATCCCCTTTTTTTGCCTTTTCTGTTCTGTCTGCTCTTAATCCCCTTTCCCTCTTTCTGTTCTGTCTGCTCTCTTAATCCCTTTTTTCGCCTCTTTCTGTTCATTCTTAATCCCCTTTTCGCCCTTTTCTGTTCTGTCTGCTCTTAATCCCGTTCTGCTCTTGTCCCCTTTTCGTTCTGTCTGCTCTTAATCCCCGTTTCGCCCTTTCTGTTCTGTCTCGCTCTTAATCCCATTTCGCCTCTTTCTGTTTCTGTCTGCTCTTAATCCCCGTTTCGCCTCTTTCTGTTCTGTCTGCTCTTAATCCCGTTTCGCCTCTTTCTGTTCTGTCTGCGTTTCGCCTCTTTCTATTTCTGTCTGCTCTTAATCCGTTTCGCCTCTTTCTATTTCTGTCTGCTCTTAATCCCCGTTTCGCCTCTTTCTGTTCTGTCTGCTCTTAATCCCCTTTCGCCTCTTTCTGTTCTGTCTGCTCTTAATCCCCCTTTCGCCTCTTTCTGTTCTGTCTGCTCTTAATCCCGTTTCGCCCTTTCTGTTCTGTCTGCTCTTAATCCCCTCTCTTTCTGTTCTGTCTGCTCTTAATCCCCCTTTCGCCTCTTTCTATTTCTGTGCCTCTTTCCTTTGCCTCTTTCTGTTTCTGTCTGCTCTTAATCCCCCTTTCGCCTCTTTCTGTTCTGTCTGCTCTTAATCCCATTCGCCTCTTTTTTCTGTCTGCTTTTCGCCTCTTTCCGTTCTGTCTCTAATCCCCCTTTCCCTCTTTCTGTTCCTCTTTAATCCCCTTTGCCTCTTTCTGTTCTGTCTGCTCTTAATCCCCTTTCGCATCTTTTTCTGTTCCTCTTTTCATTGTTTCTGTCTGCTCTTAATCCCCTTTTTCGCCTCTTTCTGTTTCTGTCTGCTCTTTTAATCCCCTTTTCCCTTTCTTTTCTGTCCTCTTTCCCCCTCGTTCTGTCTGTCTTAATCCCCCGCCTCTTTCTGTTCTGTCTTCTTAATCCCCCGTTTCGCCTCTTTCTGTTCTGCTCTTAATCCTCTTTCTGTTTTCTGCTCTTAATCCCCCATTTCTTTCTGTTCTGTCTGCTCTTAATCCCCCATTTCGCCTCTTTCTGTTCTGTCTGCTCTTAATCCCTGTTTCGCCTCTTTCTGTTCTGTCTGCTCTTAATCCCCGTTTCGCCTCTTTTCTGTTTCTGTCCTCTTTCCCCCTTTGTTCCATTTCTGTCTCTAATCCCCTTTCGCCTCTTTCTTTCTGTCTGTAATCCCCGTTTCACCTCTTTCTGTTCTGTCTGCTCTGTCCCCGTTTCCTCTTTCTGTTCTGTCTGCTCTTAATCCCCCGTTTTCGCCTCCCCATTTCTGTTCTGTCTGCTCTTAATCCCCATTTCGCCTCTTTCTCTGTTCTGTCTGCTCTTAATCCCCTTTTCGCCTCTTTCTGTTCTGTCTGCTCTTAATCCCCATTTCGCCTCTTTCTGTTCTGTCTGCTCTTAATCCCCCAGTTTGCCTCTTTGTTCTGTCTGCTCTTAATCCCCGTTTCGCCTCTTTCTGTTCTGTCTGCTCTTAATCCCCGTTTCGCCTCTTTTTCTGTTCTGTCTGCTCTTAATCCCCCCTCTTTCTGTTCTGTCTGCCTTAATCCCCCTTTCGCCTCTTCTGTTCATCTCTGCTCTTAATCCCCGTTTCGCCTCTTTTTCTGCTCTTTAATCGTTTCGCCTCTTTCTGTTCTGTCTGCTCTTAATCCCTTTCGCCTCTTTCTGTTCTGTCTGCTCTTTTAATCTTTCTGTTCATCTGCTTAATCCCCCATTCCTCTTTCTGTTCTGTCTGCTCTGTCCCCTTTCGCCTCTTTCTGTTCTGTCTGCTCTTAATCCCCCTTTCGCCTCTTTCGTTCTGTCTGCTCTTAATCCCCATTTTCGCCTCTTAATCCCCCGCCTCTTTCCGTTCTGTCCTCTTAATCCCCGTTTCGCCTCTTTCTGTTCTGTCTGCTCTTAATCCCCATTCGCCCTCTTTCTGTTCTGTCTGCTCTTAATCCCCGTTTTCGCCTCTTTCTGTTCTCTGCTCTTAATCCCATTTCGCCTCTTTCTGTTCTGTCTGCTCTTAATCCCTCTTTCTGTTCTGTCCTCTTTTCATTTCTGTCTATTTCTGTCTCTTAATCGTTTCCCCATTTGTCTGCCCTTAATCCCCTTGCCTCTTTCTATTTCTGTCTGCTCTTAATCCCCGTTTCGCCTCTTTCTGTTCTGTCTGCTCTTAATCCCCATTTCGCCTCTTTCTGTTTTCTTAATATTTCTGTTCTGTCTCTCTAATCCCCCGTTTCGCCTCTTTCTGTTCTGTCTGCTCTTAATCCCCCTTTCTTTCCATTTCTGTCTGCTCTTAATCCCATTTCGCCTCTTTCTGTTCTGTCTGCTCTGTCCCCGTTCCGCCTCTTTCCATTTCTGTCTGCTCTTAATCCCCATTGCCCTCTTTTATTTCTGTCTGCTTAATCCCCATTTCGCCTCTTTCTGTTCTGTCTGCTCTTAATCCCCATTTCGCCTCTTTCTGTTCTGTCTGCTCCTAATCCCCATTTCGCCTCTTTCTGTTCTGTCTCTTAATCCCCCCCGTTCCTTTCTTTCTATTCTGTCTGCTCTTAATCCCCCCGTTTCGCCTCTTTCTGTTCTCTCTGCTCTTAATCCCCCGTTTCGCCTCTTTCTGTTCTGTCTGCTCTTAATCCCCGTTTCGCCTCTTTCCCGTTCTGTCTGCTCTTAATCCCGTTTCACCTCTTTTTCCGTTCTGTCTCTCTTAATCCCCTTTCGCCTCTTTCTGTTCTGTCTGCTCTTAATCCCCATTTTCGCCTCTTTCCCGTTCTGTCTGCTCTTAATCCCCCCTTTCGCCTCTTTCTATTTCTGTCTGCTCTTAATCCCCTTTCGCCTCTTTTGTACTGTCACTCTTATCCCCGTTCGCCTCTTTCCGTTCTGTCTGCTCTTAATCCCCGTTTCGCCTCTTTCTTTTCTGTCTCTGTCCCATTTCACCTCTTTCTATTTCTGTCTGCTCTTAATCCCCTTTATCTTCGTCCCCCTCTCTTTCATTCTGTCTGCTCTAATCCCCTTTCGCCTCTTTCTGTTCTGTGCTCTTAATCCCCTTTCGCCTCTTTCTATTTCTGTCTGCTCTAATCCCCATTTCCCTTCTTTCCGTTCTGTCTGCTCTCTTAAATCCCCGTTCGCCTCTCTTTCTGTTCTGTCTGCTCTTAATCCCCTTTCGCCTCTTTCTGTTCTGTCTGCTCTTAATCCCCATTTCGCCTCTTTCCCGTTCTGTCTGCTCTTAATCCCCGCTCTTTCGCCCTCTTTCTGTTCTGTCTGCTCTTAATCCCTTTCGCCTCTTTCTGTTCTGTCTTCTCTTAATCCCGTTCGCCTCTTTCCGTTCTGTCTGCTCTTAATCCCCGTTTCCTTACTTTCTGTTCTGTCTCTCTTAATCCCCCCCTTTCGCCTCTTTCTGTTCTGTCTGTTCTTAACCCCGTTCGCCTCTTTCCGTTCTGTCTGCTCTTAATCCCCGTTCCTCTTTTCCGTTCTCTTACTTAATCCCCATTTCCTCTTTCTGTTCTGTCTGCTCTTAATCATTTCGCCTCTTTCTGTTCTGTCTGCTCTTAATCCCCATTTCGCCTCTTTCTGTTCTGTCTGCTCTTAATCCCCGTTTCGCCCTCTTTCTGTTCTGTCTACTCTGTCCCATTTCGCCTCTTTCTATTCTGCTCTGCTCTTAATCCCCGTTTTGCCTCTTTCTATTTCTGTCTGCTCACCAATGCCATTTCGCCCTCTTTCTGTTCTATCTACTCTTAATCACATTTCGCGCCTCTTTCCGTTCTGTCTGCTCTTAATCCCCCTTTCGCCTCTTTTCTATTTCTATCTCTTAATCCCCTTTCGCCTCTTTCTGTTCTGTCTGCTCTTAATCCCCATTTCCTTTCCGTTCTGTCTGCTCTTAATCCCCCGTTTCGCCTCTTTTCTGTTCTGTCTGCTCTTAATCCCCCCTTTCGCCTCTTTCCGTTCTGCTCTTAATCCCCGTTCGCCTCTTTCCGTTCTGTCTGCTCTTAATCCCGTTTCGCCTCTTTCTGTTCTGTCTGCTCTTAATCCCCTGTTTCTGGGCCTCTTTCTGTTCTGTCTGCTCTTAATCCTGTTTTCGCCTCTTTCGTTCTGTCTGCTCTTAATCCCCGTTTCTTCCTTTTCTGTTCTGTCTGCTCTTAATCCCGTTTCCGCCTCTTTCTGTTCTGTCTGCTCTTAATCCCTGTTTCGCCTCTTTCTTTCTGTCCTGTTCTCACCTCTTTCTGGTGTCTGCTCTTAATCCCTGTTTCGCCTCTTTCTGTTCTGTCTGCTCTTAATCCCCCCATTTCCTTCTCTTTCGTTCTGTCTGCTCCTTTTCCCCATTTCCCCTCTTTCTGTTCTGTCTGCTCTTAATCCCCTGCCCTCTTTTAATTCCTCTGCTCCTTTCGCCTTCTTTCTGTTCTGTCTGCTCTTAATCCCCATTCGCCTCTTTCTGTTCTGTCCTCTTTTCCCCTTTTCGCCTCTTTTCTGTCTGCTCTTAATCCCCATTTCGCCTCTTTCCTCTTTCCTCTAAATCCCGTTTCTGTTCTGTCCTCTTTTCCCCGTTCGCCTCTTTCCGTTCTGCTCTTAATCCCCGTTTCGCCTCTTTCTGTTCTGTCTGCTCTTAATCCCTTTTCGCCTCTTTCTGTTCTGTCTGCTCTTAATCCCCATTTCGCCTCTTTTTCTGTTCTTGTCCCCCGTTTCGCCTTTTAAGTCCCCTCTTTCCCTTTCTGTTCTGTTCTGTCTGCTCTTAATCCCCTTTCGCCTCTTTCTGTTCTGTCTGCTAATCCCCGTTTCGCCTCTTTCTGTTCTGTCTGCTCTTTAATCCCGTTCGCCTCTTTCTGTTCTGTCGCTCTTAATCCCCTTTCGCCTCTTTCTGTTCTGTCTGCTCTTAATCAACATTTCACCCCTGTTTCTGCTCTTAATCCCCGTTTCGCCTCTTTCTGTCTGCTTTCTTAATGTCCCATTTCGCCTCTTTCTATTTCTGTCTGCTCTTAATCCCGTTCTGCCTCTTTCTGTTCTGTCTCTTTCTCGTATTTCGCCTCTTTCTGTTCTGTCCTCTTAATCCCCATTTCGCCTGTCTCTTTCTTTGCCTCTTTCTGTTCTGTCTGCTCTTAATCCCTGTTTCTACCTCTTTCTGTTCTGTCTGCTCTTAATCCCCGTTTCGCCTCTTTCTGTTCTATCTTAATCCCATTTCGCCTCTTTCTATTCTGTCAACTAAACCCCCGTTTCGCCTCTTTCTGTTCTGTTTGCTCTTAATCCCCGTTCGCCTTTTCTGTTCTGTCTCTTAATCCCCAGTTCGCCTCTTTCTGTTCTGTCTGCTCTTAATCCTCTTTCATTTCTCTCTTTCTGTTCTGTCTACTCTTTCTTTCGCCTCTTTCTGTTCTGTCTCTTAATCCCTGTTTGGCCTCTTTCTGTTCTGTCTTCTTAATCCCCCTTTGCCTCTTTCTGTTCTGTCTGCTCTTAATCCCCCCTTTGGCCTCTTTCTGTTCTGTCTTCTTAATCCCCCTTTCCTTTTTGTTCTGTCTGCTCAATCTCTTTCCCCGTTCGTTGTCGTTCTGTCTGCTTTTCCCCCTTTCGCCTCTTTCTGTTCTGTCTGCTCTTAATCCCCGTTTCCTACCTCTTTCTGTTCTGTCTGCTCTTTCGCCTCTTTCTGTTCTGTCTGCTCTTAATCCCTGTTTCGCCTCTTTCTATTCTGTCTGCTCTTAATCCCCCGTTTCGCCTCTTTCTATTTCTGTCTGCTCTTAATCCCCGTTTCGCCCTCTTTCTATTCTGTCTGCTCTTAATCCCCATTTCCCTCTTTCTTTCTGTCTGCTCTTAATCCCCCTTTCCTCTTTCTGTTCTGTCTGCTCTTAATCCCTGTTTCGCCCTCTTTCTGTTCTGTCTGTTCTTAATCCCCGTTTCGCCTCTTTCTGTTCTGTCTGCTCTTTTAATCCCCGTTTGTTCCCTCTTTCTGTTCTGTCTCTTAATCCCCCTTTCGCCTCTTTCTGTTTGTCTGCTCTTAGCCCCCTTTCCGCCTCTTTCTGTTCTGTCTGCTCTTAATCCCCCTTTCGCCTCTTTCTGTTCTGTCTGCTCATAATCCCTGTTTCTTGCCTCTTTCTGTTCTGTTCTGCTCTTAATCGTTTGCCTCTTTCATTCTGTCTGCTCTTAATCCCTGTTTTGCTCTTTCTGTTCTGTCTGCTCTCCCCCCATTTGCCTCTTTCTGTTCTGTCTTATCCCCATTTCCTTTCTTTCAGTTCTCTACTCTTATTCCCATTTCGCCTCTTTCTGTTCTGTCTGCTCTTAATCCCCCATTTCGCCTCTTTCTGTCCTCTAATCCCCATTTCGCCTCTTTTCTTCTGTGCTCTTAATTTCCCTTTATTCTGTCTGCTCTTAATCCCCCCTGCCTCTTTCTGTTCTGTCTGCTCTTAATCCCATTTTCCTTTTCCTGTCTGCTTTAATCCCATTTCTCTTTCTGTTTTAGTCTGCTCTTAATCCCTTTTTCGCCTCTTTCTGTTCTGTCTGCTCTTAATCCCCGTTTCGCCCTCTTTCTGTTCTGTCTGCTCTTAATCCCCGTTCGCCTCTTTCTGTTCTGTCTGCTCTTTCCAATCCGTTTCGCCTCTTTCTGTTCTGTCTGTCTTAATCCCCTGTTTCGCCTCTTTCTGTTCTGTCTGTCTCTTAATCCCCCCCTTTTCCATTCGCCTCTTTCTTTGTTCTGTCTGCTCTTATCCCCCGTTTCACTCTTTCTGTTTCTGTCTGCTCTTAATCCCCCTTTTCGCCTCTTTCCTGTTCTGTCTACTCTTCCCCAATCCCTGTTTCTGCCTCTTTCCGTTCTGTCTGCTCTTAATCCCGTTTCGCCTCTTTCTGTTCTGTCTCTTAATCCCCGTTTGCCTCTTTCTATTTCTGTCTCTTAATCCCCGTTTCGCCTCTTTCTGTTCTGTCTGCTCTTAATCCCCGTTTCGCCCTCTTTCTGTTCTGTCTGCTCTTAATCCCCATTTTAACCTCTTTCTGTTCTGTCTGCTCTTAATCCCCATTTCGCCTCTTTGTTCTGTCTGCTCTTAATCCCCGTTTCGCCTCTTTCTGTTCTGTCTGCTCTTAATCCCGTTTCGCCTCTTTCCTGTCTGCTCTTAATCCCCATTTCGCCTCTTTCTATTTCTGTCTGCTCTTAATCATTTCGCCCTCTTTCCGTTCTGTCTCTTAATCCCCGTTTTCCCTCTTTCTGTTCTGTCTCTCTTTAATCCCCGTTCGCCTCTTTCCGTTTCTCTGCTCTTAATCCCCATTTCGCCTCTTTCTGTTCTGTCCTCTTTACATTTCGCCTCTTTCTGTCTGCTCTTAATCCCCTTCTTTCGCTCCTCTTTCCGTTTTCTGTCTGCTCTTAATCCCCCGTTTCGCCTCTTTCTGTTCTGTCAGCTCTTAATCCCCGTTTCGCCTCTTTCTGTTTCTGTCTGCTCTTAATCCCCCCGTTTCGCCTCTTTCCATTCTGTCTGCTCTTAATCCCCGTTTCGCCTCTTTTTCTGTTCTGTCTGCTCTTAATCCCCTTTCGCCTCTTTCTGTTTCTGTCTGCTCTTAATCCCCGTTTCGCCTCTTTCCGTTCTGTCTGCTCTTAATCCCCTTTCGCCTCTTTCTGTTCTGTCTGCTCTTAATCCCCCTTTCGCCTCTTTCTGTTCTGTCTGCTCTTAATCCCCTTTCGCCTCTTTCTGTTCTGTCCTCTTAATCCCCTTTCGCCTCTTTCTGTTCTGTCTGCTCTTAATCCCCCTTTTCGCCCTCTTTCTGTTCTGTCTGCTCTTAATCCCCCTTCCTTTTTCCGTTCTGTCTGCTCTTAATCCCCATTTCGCCTCTTTCTGTTCTGTCTGCTCTTAATCCCCTTTCGCCTCTTTCTGTTCTGTCTGCTCTTAATCCCCCTTTCGCCTCTTTCCGTTCTGTCTCTGCTCAATCCCCGTTTGCCTCTTTTCCATTCTGTCTGCTCTGTCCCCCTTTCGCCTCTTTCTGTTCTGTCTGTTCTTAATCCCCCGTTCGCCTCTTTCTGTTCTGTCTGCTCTAATCCCCATTCGCCTCTTTCCGTTCTGTCTGCTCTTAATCCCATTTCGCCTCTTTCTGTTCTGCCAATCCCCGTTTCGCCTCTTTCTGTCTGTCTGCTCTTAATCCCCCGTTTCGCCTCTTTCTATTTCTGTCTGCTCTTAATCCCCCGTTTCGCCTCTTTCTGTTCTGTCTGCTCTTAATCCCCGTTTCGCCTCTTTCCATTCTGTCTGCTCTTAATAATCCTTTTCTTTCTGTTCTGTCTGCTCTTAATCCCCCTTTCCTCTTTCTGTTTGTCTGCTCTTAATCCCCGCCTCTTATTTCAATCCCCTTTCTGTTCTGTCTGCTCTTAATCCCCCTTTCGCCTCTTTCTGTTCTGTCTGCTCTTAATCCCCCTTTCGCCTCTTTCTGTTCTGTCTGCTCTTAATCCCGTTTCGCCTCTTTCCGTTCTGTCTGCTCTTAATCCCCGTTCGCCTCTTTCTGTTCTGTCTGCTCTTAATCCCCCATTCGCCTCTTTCTGTTCTGTCTGCTCTTAATCCCGTTTCGCCTCTTTCTGTTCTGTCTGCTCTTAATCCCCATTTTCGCCTCTTTCTGTTCTGTCTGCTCTTAATCATTCGCCTCTTTCTGTTCTGTCTGCTCTTAATCCCGCCTCTTTCTATTCTGCTCTGCTTTCTTTCGTTCGCCTCTTTCTGTTCTGTCTCTTAATCCCGTTTCGCCTCTTTCTGTTCTGTCTGCTCTTAATCCCCATTTCGCCTCTTTCTGTTCTGTCTGCTCTTAATCCCTGTTTCGCCTCTTTCTGTTCTGTCTGCTCTTAATCCCCGTTCGCCTCTTTCTGTTCTGTCTGCTCTTAATCTTTCGCCTCTTTCTGTTCTGTCTGCTCTCTTAATCCCCCTTTCGCCTCTTTCTGTTCTGTCTGCTCTTAATCCCCGTTTCGCCTCTTTCTGTTCTGTCTGCTCTTAATCCCCCTGTTTCTGCCTCTTTCTGTTCTGTCTGCTCTTAATCCCCGTTTCGCCTCTTTCCCGTTCTGTCTGCTCTTAATCCCCGCCTCTTTTTCGTCCTCTTTCTTTGTTCTGTCTGCTCTTAATCCCCTTTCGCCTCTTTCTATTCTGTTCTGTTTGCCTCTCTCTTAATCCCCGTTTCGCCTCTTTCTGTTCTGTCTCTTAATCCCTTCGCCTCTTTCTTTCTGTCTGCTCTTAATCCCGTTTCGCCTCTTTCTGTTCTGTCTGCTCTTAATCCCGTTTCGCCTCTTTTTCCGTTCTGTCTGCTCTTAATCCCCTTTCGCCTCTTTCTGTTTCTGTTCCCCGTTTCCCCTTTCGCCTCTTTCTGCCTCTTTCTTCTGTCTGCTCTTAATCCCCCCGTTTCGTCCTCTTCCCCCGTTCTGTTCTGTCTCTTAATCCCCCTTTCGCCTCTTTCTGTTCTGTCTGCTCTTAATCCCCGTTTCGCCTCTTTCTGTTCTGTCTGCTCTTAATCCCTGTTTCGCCTCTTTCCGTTCTGTCTGCTCTTAATCCCCGTTTCGCCTCTTTCTGTTCTGTCTGCTCTTAATCCCCGTTTCGCTTTTCTTTCTGTTCTGTCTGCTCTTAATCCCCATTTCGCCTCTTTCTGTTCTGTCTGCTTAATCCCCGTTTCCCTCTTTCTGTTCTGTCTGCTCTTAATCGTTTCGCCTCTTTCTGTTCTGTCTCTTTAATCCCCCCGTTTGCCTCTTTCTATTTCTGTCTGCTCTTAATCCCTGTTTCGCCTCTTTCTGCTCTTTCTTCGCCTCTTTCTGTTCTGTCTGCTCTTAATCCCCCGTTTCGCCTCTTTCTGTTCTGTCTGCTCCTTAATCCCCGTTTCGCCTCTTTCTGTTCTGTCTGCTCTTAACCTCTTTCTGTTCTGTCTGCTCTTAATCCCCCGTTTCGCCTCTCCGTTCTGTTCTGTTAATCATTTCGCCTCTTTCGTTCTGTCAATAATCCCCCATTTCGCCTCTTTCTGTTCTGTCTGCTCTTAATCCCCGTTTACCTCTTTCCGTTCTGTCCCTTAATCCCCGTTTCGCCTCTTTCTGTTCTGTCTGCTCTTATACCCGTTTCGCCTCCTATTTCTGTTTCTTGCCGCCTCTTTCTGTTCTGTCTGCTCTTAATCCCCCTTTCGCCTCTTTTCTGTTCTGTCTGCTCTTAATCCCCTTTTGCCTTCTTTCTGTTCTGTCTGCTCTTAATCCCCTGTTTGCTCTTAATCCCCTTTCGCCTCTTTCTGTCTGCTGTCTCTTAATCCCCTTTCGCCTCTTTCTGTTTCTGTCTGCTCTTAATCCCCGTTTCGCCTCTTTCTGTTCTGTCTGCTCTTAATTTTCGCCTCTTTTCTGTTCTGTCTGCTCTTAATCCCCGTTTCGCCTCTTTCTGTTCTGTCTGCTCTAATCCCGTTTCCCCTCTTTTCTGTTCTGTCTGCTCTTAATCCCCCTTTCGCCTC